ATACAGAGGGTTCACCACAAGATGGAAACCATTGGTGAGCCTCAAAAACAGGAAGGCCAGATTAGAGTTTGCCAAACGACATGTAAAAAAGCCTTCACAGTTCTGGAACAACATCCTATGGACAGATGAGACCGAGATCAACTTGTACCAGAGTGATGGGAAGAGAAGAGTATGGAGAAGGAACTGCTCATGATCCTAAGCATACCACCTCATCAGTGAAGCATGGTGGTGGTAGTGTCATGGCGTGGGCATGTATGGCTGCCAATGGAACTGCTTCTCTTGTATTTATTGATGATGTGACTGCTGACAAAAGCAGCCGGATGAATTCTGAAGTGTTTCGGGAATATTATCTGCTCATATTCAGCCAAATGCTTCACAACTCATTGGACGCTTCACAGTGCAGATGGACAATGACCCAAAGCAGACTGCAAAAGCAACCAAAGAGTTTTTTAAGGGAAAGAAGTGGAATGTTATGCGACGGCCAAGTCAATCACCTGACCTGAATCCGATTGAGCATGCATTTCACTTGCTGAATACAAAACTGAAGGGAAAATGCCCCAAGAACAAGCAGGAACTGAAGACAGTTGCCGTAGAGGCCTGGCAGAGCACCACCAGGGATGAAACCCAGCGTCTGGTGATGTCTATGCGTTCCAGACTTCAGGCTGTAATTGACTGCAAAGGATTTACAACCAAGTATTAAAAAGTGAAAGTTTGATTTATGATTATTATTCTGTCCCATTACTTTTGGTCCCTTAAGAAGTGGGAGGCACATATGCAAACTGTTGTAATTCCTACACCGTTCACCTGATTTGGATGTAAATACCCTCAAATTAAAGCTGACAGTCTGCAGTTAAAGCACATCATTTCATTTCAAATCCATTGTGGTGGTGTATAGAGCCAAAAATGTTAGAATTGTGTTGATGTCCCAATATTTATGGACCTGACTGTATAATCATAAATTGCACAAACACTATATTGCCCCAAGTATTGGGCCGCCGGGCTTTCCACGCATATGAACTTTGATGTCCTCATAGTCTTAGTCCGTAGGGTTCAATATTGAGTTGGCCCCGCCCTTTGCAGCTATAACAGCTTCAACTCTTCTGGGAAGGCTGTCCACAAGGTTTAGGAGGGTGTCTTGGGAAGGTTGGACCATTCTTCCAGAAGGACATTTGTCAGGTCAGGCACTGATGTCGGGGGAGGAGGCCTGGCTCGCAGTCTCCGCTCAAATTCATCCCAAAGGTGTTCTATGGGGTTGAGGTGAGGACTCTGTGCAGGACAGTCAAGTTCCTCCACCCCAAACTGGCTCCTCCATGTCTTTATGGACCTTGCTTTGTGTACTGGTGCGCAGTCATGTTGGAACAGGAATGGGCCATCCCCAAACTCTTCCTACAAAGTTGGGAGCATGAAATTGTTCAAAGTTTCACCTTCCCTTCACTTGAACTAGGGGGCCAAGCCAACCCCTGAAAAACAACCCCACACCATAATCCCCCCTCCACCAAACTTTGCACAATGCAGTCAGGCAAGTTCCGTTCTCCTGGCAACCGCCAAACCCAGACACGTCCATCGGATTTGCCAGACAGAGAAGCGTGATTGGCCACTCCAGAGGACACGTCTCCACTGCTCTAGAGTCCAGTGGCGGCGTGCTTTACACCACTGCATCCGACGCTTTGCATTGCACTTGGTGACGTAAGGCTTGGATGCAGCTGCTCGGCCATGGAAACCCATTCCATGAAGATCTCTACACACTGTTGTTATGCTAATCTGAAGGCCACACCAAGTTTGGAGGTCTTTAGCTATTGACTGCAGACAGTTGGCGACTTCTGCGCACTGTGCGCTTCAGCATGCGCTGACCCCGCTCTGTCATGTGACGTGGCCTACCACTTGGTGGCTGAGTTGCTGTTGTTCCCAATTGCTCCCACTTTGTTATAATCCCACTAACAGTTGAGCGTGGAATATTTAGTAGCCAGGAAATGTCACAGATGGACTTATTGCACAGGTGACAACCTATCACGGGACCACGCTTGGTGTCACTGAGCTCCTGAGAGCGACCCATTCTTTCACAGATTATTTGTAGAAGCAGTCTGCATGCCTAGGGGCTTGATTGTATACACCTGTGTCCATGGAGGGGATTGGGACACCTGAATCACATGATTGGGAGGGCGGGGCCAATACTTTTGGCAGTATATTGTACATCGAACAGATAACTTCCGAATTCTCTTTTTGTGCATGCGCTGCAGACAGGCTATATGAAGATAGTTCAACATTTTTTTAGCCACTCATCAGATCACTGATTGGAACACCTGAATCCAATGATGTGGAAAGGGTGTCCCAATAGGCAATATAGTGTGTGTGTGTGTATACATACACACATTATATATATATATATATATATAACATTTTTTTTTTTTTGTTTAAATAATTTAAACTTTAACTATAAAAGAAAAGAACGCAGTACGGATCTGGATCTTTCATTTATCAATTGATCTATATAAATCCTCGTTTGTATGAAGATATCACCATGGAGCACAGGATAAATGTTTGAGGTCCCTCCCACTCATTCAGGATGTGGGAAATGCCGTGAAAATCCTATTGATAAGCACTGCGGAGAAGGCACATAAACACCCGTGGGCACGCATTGTACAAAAAAAAAGTTATTAGGCCGGTTTGACCTTTTTGGACCAAGTGATTCAATATCCTGCTGCTTAAATCATCACAATGGCCGATATGGCTGTATATACTAAAAAAGCATTTTTATGAAGGGTTAAAAGGTAAATGGATGGGAACCCTGACAGCAAGCCAATGTAAACTTCTGGTTGTGTCCAGGATGGGAAGAACGAATGTCCCAGACTCCGGCAATTTGTTAAATATTTTTCTTTTTGATTAGACGGAGGAGTGGAAGGTTGTCTGGGTTGGTTGATCAAACGATGAGCCTGGCTGAAGCAGGTTTGCTGGTTCTGGGCCAAGCCTGCTAAAGGTCTTGGGCATCCTGCATGGGATTCCAGCATTTTGCTGCTGCGGGAGAAGAGCACCGTCCAGCCCTGTTGCCGGTAGACCCTAAAACTCCAAGGGAGGCTGAAGGCATCTGCGGCTAGACCGCGGTATTAACATTTAGGGCAGTATGTGCCCATGGACGAATTCTTGGAACTCAAGCAGTCTGGTATCATCACATACAATCACAGGGGCATTGACCCCTGTTTAGGAGGCAGGACTGAGACCAGAGAAAGACACAGCCTACCAAGCAGCTGCGTGGGAGCAGTTGCAGAACTGGAGGGAGCTTGCTGGAGCACCCCTTTAACATCTGGGTTGGTAGGGGTGTTAAAGGGTTAACCTTTTTCCGCCACGCCCTTTAAATGTCTGGACCAAAGGAAAACACATCAGGATGGCCAACGGGGAGATGGAGGAGCTGAGCACTTCCAGGTTCAGAGCCATCCGTTTCTGGCCAAAAGAGGCGGGGGAAATTGCTGATAGAGGATGCTGTGTCCTCAATCAGATTTGACTGAGGTGAGGCATCAGGGGTTCAAGAGACCCCCGATATCTCCATAAGGAGCACTTGTCACTCCAAAAGTGCTGTCACATAGGGGGCTTATTAGCCCTCTTATGAGAGTGTAAAATATTTATTTATTTTTTATTTCAGGTACTTATATAGCGCCGTCAATCTACGCAGCGCTTTACATATATGTTGTAAAGCATAACCCTCAGTCCATAACCCTCAAGGGGCGTACAATCTAAGGCCCTTAACTCACATTCATACATACACATACTAGGGCCAATTTAGACAGGAGCCAATTCACCTACCAGCATGTGTTTGGAGTGTGGGAGGAAACCGGAGTACCTGGAGGATACCCACGCAGGCACAGGGAGAACATGCAAACTCAAGGCAGGTGGTGCCGTGGTTGGGATTCGAACCAACGACCCAATACTGCACACGCACTTAAATGACAATTGACCCATGTTTGGTATCGCAGAGTTCATCGAAATCAGAGGAATGATTCTAGAGCCATCATTTATACTTCACTCCAAGCTGATGAGCTGTGAAGGCTTTTGCCTATTGTAGTTTGTTACCGTATCGCTGGCACGTTTTATACCTTGACATATTTGGTATCTATTGGTATCCCAACACCAATCTGAGTAGCGCATTGAGTCCCCAGGGAGGAACGCCCTATAGAAATCTTATTATCAGTATTATTTAAAAGGTATAGAATCATTTAATTTATATTATTATTATTATTATATTGCTTAATATTATCCTTCTCCTCCTCCTGTTTCTTCTCCTCCACTTTCTTCTCCTCCTTATGCTCCTCCTTCTTCTCCTCCTCCTTCTCCTCCTCCTCCGGGTGTACCCCGGTTTCCTCCCAGACATGCTGGTAGGTTAATTGGCTCCTGTCTAAATTGACTCTAGTATGTGTGAATGTGAGTTAGCGAACTAGATTGTAAGCTCCTTGGGGACAAGGACAGATGTGAATGTACAATATATATATATCCCACCCCAACAGCAGATGAGTCCCCAGGGAGAAAAGTGCTATAGAAATAAAAAAAATATATATATATATATATTTTTTTTTTTTGTACACTTTTTCTTTTTTAAAATGAGGTTGGATACAGAATTTACTGGAATATAAAACGCTTCTTGTAGTGAAACTATATTTATTTGCACGGGTCTATAAGTGGGACCTATAAGAGGGACATCCAAAGGGGAGGGGGGCAGTGATTTGGATCCAAAAGCAGATCAGTAGGGAGCTCTGAAATCTCCCATACACCTCTATATGAATAACAGCTGTGTAATGTCTTCCTGCCTGCAGCTACTCTTTTCTGTTTGCCAATCCCAGCTTTGGAGGGAGGGGTCACTTCACTGAGACGTTGAATGAACTGGAGAGAGATCTTTCTTCATGAAGGACGTAACATAGCTACAGAGATGGCTGGTGAGTTTCCAAAGATTACCTGCTAAATCAGCTTCCAAATATTCACCGACGAGGTGGCTAATTACCAATCTATGTATGTTTCAGGAGGAAATTTCATTCTGCTATTGGTGGTCATGAACATGAACTGGTCCTTCCAAACTCCAGACACAGGTTGGTCACATTTTGTAACTTTCTCAGAAAATTCTTTTAGCTGTAAGCCAGGCAGTTGTTGGTTGAAGGTAACTCTATATGTTGAAGATTTAGGACTTGCGTAGACTGGTGTTCTCAAAACGTTGACTCCCACATTGGAAACCTGCTCCTTAAAATGCATAATACTCTGCTCTTGATTCTCTGAAGTTTTGCAAAGTGTCCTGTTTAACGGTCAGGATGTCTGATGATCTCATTTGAAGGATCTGTTTGACGTTTAGCCAAAGCCAAGAGGTTGGCTTTGACCAGCTTTTCCTGCAACCCAAATGCATCCCAATGGCACCAAAGAAATGGAAGCACCAAGCAGGTCAAATGCAACCTCCGAATGGCACCATTAAAGATTAAGGGCTGTGTGCACAGGTTTGGTTCACAAACGTTGCTTTCCACGTTCGAGCCCACTCCATAAAATGCAAAATACTCCGCTTTGGATTCTATGAAATTTTGCAGTGGCTTGTTTAACTATCCGGTGTTTAAACGTCTGATGAAGGATCTGTTTGACGTATATCCAAAGCCAAGAGGTTGGGTTTGACCAGCTTTTCCTGCACCCCAAATGCATCTTAATTGCCCCCCCAAAAAAAAATGCAATACAAAGCAGGTCAAATGCAACCTCAAAACGGCACCATTGAAGTAAATGGGAATCTAATGACCTGCGTTTTTTAAGTGTGCTTCAAATGCAGGAAAACACCCGTCTACAAAAACCCTTATTCATTGGAAACATAATAGCCCCTGCCGTATGCATTGATGAGTAATACATTACCTATTTCATGACTAGGCTTGTTAGCAGTGAAGCTTTGCTGTAGTAGTTGCATTGATGAGAAATTACGTTTTTTGTTTTTTTTACAAAATTGCATTTGGCAGCGTTGTAGCTTTGCTGTAACAATGCAACACATGGACAGTGAAAGTTGCATTGATGAAATCTAAAGTATTTTTTTGCATAATGAAGCTTGCTAACATTGTAGTTTTCTGCACATGGGCAGCAAGAGTTGCACTGATGAGAAATACTTTACCTTTTGCGTAATTGGGCTTTTTAGCATTGTAGCTTTGCTGTGATCATGTAACACATGGACAGTTAAAGTTTCATAATAGTTTGGTTTTTTTTAACTATTACATCTGGTTAGTGTCGGAGACTCGTGAAAGAAGCCTACACTACATGAATCTTCATTTATGGGTGGTCTAATGTGGGATCTTGATAAACATGTTGATTATTTCAGGCAAATGCCTTTTGCATGCGAGTGCTGCTGTCCTTGTGATTAGTAAGACGTATAATTAAATATAGAGACGGTGAGAAAGCTAACCCTCTCAAGGCACAGTGTTAATTTAGGTGGTTGATTCATTAGAATACAGGCACCAGCAGCAGGGGCGTATTTACCACAAGGCATTTGCCTAGGGCGGCATTTTTTAGGGGGGCAGCAGCGCCCCCGAAGAAGGGATAGAAGAACGGACATATGTGACATGGGGACCAGGTGAGATCCGAGAGAGGTTGTGGGCTGCTTGATGGTGTATGGAGAGCCCGAGTCTTGTTCCGGAGGATGTCCAGAGCTGTGAAGGTGAGTGTCTTTCTCTCTGTCACTGTGGAAGGGGGGGGGGTGTTAGTGGAAGGCTCTTTCAGGGGGGTGGGCAGGGGTGTTGTTGGTCAATGTCATGCTCTCTCCGTAGGGGGATGCCCGCTTTGGATAGGGCAGCACAAAACCTAAAAACACCACTGACCAGCAGATCCTTTTACATATGGTTCAACGTAGGGTTCGTAACTGTTTTGGGATTACAAACCAAATGGATTCTTCAATATTTTTCCATAACCCTTTCACCAGTCTGTCCAAGTCGTCGTCATCATCACCAGTCCTATTAGGTACTAATATAACTTCAGTAGATGCCAATTTGTTGACCTTCACTATGAAGCAGGATGAGGGCAGAGATAAAAATTCTTCTAGTCTCTGGATGCAACATTCTGCACCCAAATGTCTGAAATGTGCTAGGACCAGCTGGCCCCAAAGTCCAACAGACAATTGGGTGGCCCTCCTGTGAGGAGGACTTGCTCATGGATTTGAAAGTCTGATTAGCTACTAGTATGACTTCAATAGATGCCAATTTTTTAATCTTCACTTTGAAGCTGGATGAGGGCAGGGAGCAAAATTCTAGCTTGTAGTGCCTGGATACAACCTTCTGGACCCAAATGTCTGAAATGTCAAGGGACGATATGGCTGCAAAGACCAACAGATACCCCCCCCCCCCTCCCCCCATACACAACACCTGGATATGCCCCTTTTTTTTTAGGAGGACTTGCTCATAGATTTGGAGATCTTATTAGGTGCTAGCTTGACTTCAATAGATGCCAATTTGTTGATCTTCACTTTGAAGCGGGATGAGGGCAGGGACCAAAATTCTAGGTTGTAACCTCTGGACACAAAGTTCTGGACCCAAATGTCTGAAATGGCATAGGACCAGATGGCTGCATAGGCCAACAGACATCCCCCCACTCTGACAAGTAGGGTGCCCCCTTGTTGTGATAAACACATGTTCATGGATCCTATTAGGTTCCAGTATGATTTCAATAGATGCCAATTATTGATCTTCACTCTGAAGCTGAATGAGGGCAGAGACCAAAATTCTAGCCTCTGGGTACAACGTTCTGGACCCAGATGTCTGAAATGTCATGGGAGCCAATGGCCTCAAAGACCAACAGACATCTCCCCAATCTGACAATTGGGGGTGCCCCCTTGTTGTGAGGAAGATTTGCTCATCCCTTTGGGTACCTGTATAATTTCAATAGATGCTAAATTGTTGATCTTCACTTCGAAGCGGGATTGAAGGCAGAGAGCAAAATTCTAGATTGAAGCATCTGTATAGTAGTATTGTATAATTGTACCCAAAAGTCTGTGATACCAGATGGTCACAAAGGCCAACAGACATCTGCCCACTCTAACCCATGAGGAGGACTTGATTATGGATTTTGAGGACTTGGAGGTCCAGGACTTATGGCAGAACTGGGTTCCAGGCTTGGATTTGGAAGCTTGGGAGTGATGAAAGGACCTCAATCTCCTTAACTTCTGGAGTGTGGGGGTTTCAGATGGAGATTTTGCCTTCCTGTCTTTTATGGATGGTAATAACCTCTGAAAGACAACCATATTGATGGTCCAGTGACTGAATCTGACCAGGCCAACATTATCAACTGGCCATACTGGGAAGTGAAACGTTGTCTGTATAAGTGAACTGATTGCTGATTTGTTAGGGGGACCTCGCTCCCTCTATCCATATTGATGAACTAAATAGTTAATCTAATATTGCCACAGTTTTTTATTAAATTATTCAGAGATTCAGTTTAGTATCTCCATTATTTGGTCCACTCCCTGTGTCGATGATCTCCATTGCATTCCAGAGAATCCTCTGCTTGAAGGATCTTCAGATTCCTACACTTCCGAAAATGTTGACCCTCTGGCCCTCAGGCAACTGTCCTCTACATCACTACAAGACACAGTAGTTAGGTAGTGGCTGATGGAAGGAACCACAGCATGCGGTAGGGGGACTAGAAATCTGCCACTCCCAGAAATGTCCAAACTTAAGGAACATTTGAGGAGCAATTTTTCTGCAATACAGCAGCAACTGGTGGAGTTGGTAGCAGAAGAAATAAGTATTAATTATTTTCTAGATGGGGCATAGTATTTACCAATTTTATTTTAGTAACTATTCCCAGGTACACCACTAGGAGAAATGTAATTAAAATGCATGTACCCTTCATTTACCTCTTCCAGAGCACCTCATGGAACCTTGGTTCCACCAGTATGCAAGCACCAACTAAAGTTCAGGGTTGGGCCCTCCTCCCTCACAGTTGAATATAGTAGGGTGCCATAGTATTTAAGGTTCCTGGGCTGCTCTAGATGATATTAAAAGGTAAGTTAAGTAGAAGTGCCTAAGATCCTTTTGCCAGGAAGACCATTAGAAAATCTTACTATTAGATATTATGTGACATTAAAGGCAAACTCCAGGAAACTTAAAAATTGTCCCTTGCAGTGGGGTTGCACTCCAAAGGTCAATTGCTTTTTTATGTCTAGGGGACATAGAAAAGAAGATCTACTTGCCTGATCCTTTGCACTGCTAGACCACTTCCCATAGTGTCTTCTCCCTCATGCTCTAGTGGTCTACAGTAGTGATGGGCTGGATGTTCCAGTCAAACGTAAGTCTGGCAGGATTTTAGGGAGGACCCCACACTTTTTTCCCCCCGTTTTTTGGGGGTGGTCTTCCCTTTTTAAGTCCTACCAGGCCTAAAGGGCTTTTAGGAGGGAAGCCTACACACTTAAAAAAAAAATTACTGTGGGGTCCCTCCTAACCTTTCTACCAGACCTAAAGGGTCTGGCATGAATTGGGGGAGACCCCAAGCTGTTTTTTTTTTTTCCTAACAAAAGTCAGTCCTGCTGCAGCAGGTTCTATACAGTTGTACAGATCTGCAACTGTGCAGGTAGTTTAAGGGCCCCCCCCCCCCCGGCATGCTATGTAAACAATTTTTTTTTTTTTTTTTACTTTAAGAAATAAAAAAGGACTGCCCCTTTAAATTTTTTTTTTTCACTGATTCATGTCCCTCAGGGCAGTACCTGAATCCTCATACCCCTTTTATGACCAATAACTTGCATATAAGCCTTCAAAATGGGCACTTTTAAATTTACAAGTTGGAGTCCCGTAGACTTGCATTAAGTTCGAAGTTCGTGGTCAAACATTTATTAAGTTTGAATGTTTGACCGCAAACCGAACAAGAGGGTGTTTGGCCCATCACTAGTCTACAGTCCTGAGGTCATCAAGACCAATGCAGGGTCCATAGCCTTGCACTGAATGTGATGACACTGAAGGACAATCCATTGGCAGAGCAAGTGGGGATGCCAGTAACAGTACTTCTCCTCATCCCCGGTGTTAACCCTTGCAATGGAGGTGCAGCACCACTGCAAGGAATCCTTTTTAGGTTTTTTCGGATTGGGCTT